ACACAACGGAGAGGACCTTTTGGTCTCTTTTACGCGATTATGTGATTCAACACCAGTGTACCAGAGAGACATTGAAACACCGCATGAAATTCCCTAACGGAGATCTCTGGTTTCACCGACCAATTTATCTTGAAACTTCAATATAGTGAGACCCGTTCCAAGTTTTGGGGGTAACCCCCATAACTTCCACCTTCCAATGCATCCAGGTAGAGTTACGAGAAAACATGCTACTCGCATGCCTCACCAGCAGTATCCACCGTTACACCGGTTGGACCGTTTAAAAGGTATTCAGAAGAGAAACAAGTAGCAGAATAAAGTATAGAGTCAAGGTCCGAAATCTCCATATTGGGATAGTTTTCAGATAATATCAAAAACTATGGTCTTCAGGACTTTGCACTTGACAGAAATTCCTGAAAGTGTACACTCAAGGAGACATGAGAAATTTCAAGACACGTCTCCCAATGCTCTAAAACAAGCGAGTAAACGTGATATGAACTTAAGTCAGCGCGTGGACTCACTAATCAGTATAATCAGGAAACCGACATAATCACACTAACCTACCTGCTGAATATAAACACTCGGAACAAGGTGAATATGTTTCGTTTTCTGATCAGCAGATGTCCAACCCTGTCGTCCCACAGACGAGCGTAGCAGTAAACATGTGGTTACTGGGATGCGACCATTATCACCTAGACGGTACACTAACTGATGGCATTGGGAACTTTTGTAGAATGTCATAATGATGGAAGTTCTACAATACACCGTAAGACGAAGGAACGGACAGACGTCACCGGTATAGAAGAGACAAACACCTAACAAGGGTGTTCACCGTTGCGCTACAGTGTTGAGACTGCTTGGTACTTGACACATGGTTTCAGCTTGCTGCCCACTCACCTTACTCCACCGGGTTTTCTCGTGGTACTGGACTAATCGGGTGCGGCATACTATCCATACAGAGGTTTTCAAGGGTTCAGTTACTATTGAAAATAAAATCGGATGTCATACAATCAACCCCCGCAAGAGGCTCACACAACGGAGAGGACCTTTTGGTCTCTTTTACGCGATTATGTGATTCAACACCAGTGTACCAGAGAGACATTGAAACACCGCATGAAATTCCCTAACGGAGATCTCTGGTTTCACCGACCAATTTATCTTGAAACTTCAATATAGTGAGACCCGTTCCAAGTTTTGGGGGTAACCCCCAAAAGTAGTGCGTACCACTTCAAAGAAATCCTTTAGTTATGGATGAGCCGAATAGCGTGTCACTTGTCTTCTGAAGCACTCTCAAAGAAAGCTCCATTTGCCGCCAAGCGATGTCCTAGTCCAAAATGAAACCTGAGCCCACAAAACCAGCCCTGCGAATTCGTGAAATGCGCACTGTCGATGGTTACCAAAAGTGCAGCTGTACAGTGCTTCTCAGTTTTTGCAACAAAGGTCGACTTCACTTACAGAACAAAAGGAAGTTCCCAAATACCCTTCCGCCATAAAAATGCTTGCCGATCAAGTGAAGGATTCCGGTGTAGAGTTACGAAGTACTACAGCGCTTTGAAATACAACGGTATCCAACACAAATATTGGCCACACAGTATAAAGATAGAAGTGCACCTTGAATCCACCATGACTTGAGGGTTCGTTTACATGTCCTAAGCTCGTTCACGCACCTAATAGCATAACCAACAGTGCAGCGAAGAGGAAAACTTCGTACAGAAACCATCAGTCGGGTGAACAAACCAAAGTAGCATGACTAAATAGATTAATGATGTAGTACAAGCCGGACAAGCTCACTTCGTGCGATACACTCCGACTTCAGTTCATGCCGGTTCCAGGTGAGTCACCCGTCAAAAACATATGAGTGTATTTTTCGAAAGGTGAGTTAGCCTCTTTGAGTGCATGTACGGATGTCACGCGCCACCATAGTTATTCGGGGAGGATGAAAAAGCGTCTGGTTGCAACAAACCGCAGTGCGAAAAACTGGCACGAGCATAGCAGGATAAGGGATAAGACGCAAACACGTTGCAAACGATTACTTTCGCATCTTGCTACTTCACCTGTGTAGAAATACGTTTTACAACACCAACAAACGCTTTAACAACGTGCCCCCGCCATCAGCGACAGGGAAAAGTAAGTAAAAAACAAAGCAGAATTGGCGGGGAGAAGCTCTAAACGATTCAAAGATCGGACGAACAGGACAATAAGATTCAACTCAATAAACAGTCTTCGAAACTGAATCACAAGCAACCGAAAACCCTATCTGGAGAGCGGGAAGTGTCAAATGATGATCGCTGTTCGAAGATAAGCAACGAAATGTGGACAGAAAGACATCACACACCTTGGAGCGAAAATGAAACACAATTCACGAATAGTTGACACGTCGGCGGTTGATAATTACCCCCAAATACTTGCCCTTCCGTTCACTCCCTGTATTCGCATTTCTCATTTCAGTGACAGGGAGACTAGTAACTGCATCGAAGTGCAAAAGTGTCAACGGGAGGGAGTAAGTCTAGATTTGCTTTATATTAGAATGTGAGGATTAGCTTAACGTTTCGCGAGCGGGCAACCAGAATCAGGATAGCTTGGGGACGGTTCAAAGATTGGCTTGCACCTCAAGTAATTTAGAAGTTTGTGGCCTATAAAATTTGCGGGTTATACAGTATTCGTTGATGGACGATCCGATCCAGTGGAGTACTTGGGAAGTACTCACATACAAATGAAATTTTTGCTTCCGTGGAAATGGGCCCTCCGGAGATAGGAAATCCCGTAGGAATCAGACAGGGACTTGCTCGTCGTCAGCCTTATCGAAAAATGGCTCCGTTTTGGAAATTGCTGTATTAGGCAGTGTGCATACTCACTGAACTAGTTTGCCAGTCTCGCTACTCAGTTGCACCTAGTACAAGGTTGTTCTGCATGGCGTATGATAAGACATCAGCACTCAAAAACAGTGGCATATGACCGATACAGTAAGGCGTCACCGTCATACCTGTGCCTGTCTTCTCCATATCTGAGCTGTTTCGTGGCATGGCCTGGTGAAGGGAACGGAGGAACATCTCGTAACGGGTCGATGGTAAATCAAGTCTTCTATTAACCGGGTAGAAGTAGAACACTCACCGATGTCGGGCAATGCGGCTGTTTATTTTGCGGCACTGTACTAGATTGAGGACAATCGATAAGGTAATAGATAATAAACTCACCCCCAAAGCGGATAGTAATGCATATGGTCTGTGCATTTGGAAGTATACGGCTGCCATTGTTACCCACACTCAGATGATGTGAAACAATAGTCCGTCAAAAGTGCGAGGAAGTCAGGATTACCATATAACCCAAAGCGACGTGTGGTTGGTTCATCCTTCACTACAACGGCATACATATTGTCATCAGCTCCAACCAGCTTGCTCAACAGCCGAACACTGAAGTCAGTTTTAGATCAAGCACGTATCATTGTAGTATTCCGGAACCAATCTCCATTCGTCACCATCGATTATGAATTGATACTATAGGAAATACTCTAGAGGCACACTGATTTGTCCACGTCTCTAAAAACCTTCAGAGAACGCTATCACGGCATTGCAGCCAGCCGCGATGTAGCTTACAATGGTTCAGGTGCGTGACCATAAAGTAATCAACTTAACTTAATGTTACCACTGAATGTCTACCATCAAACTGATAATCGACTAGGCCTACGACATGGAATGCTGAAAAAACAACTGTGTTCCCATCTACTTAGACGTTTCCCTTGTTTTCTGGGCATTAAATGTTCTAAAGGTGGGGTAATTTTTCTTGCTCAGGATATTAATACCTGTCGATTAGTTTAGTCTCCTCTCCTCAAATTTCGTGCACATCGTTCCTAAGCCGGAATATCTGTTACGTAAATGATCAGTAGCACAAACCCCATCGAATGAAAAGGTAATTATTTACAAAAGTAAATTTCGTGTGCTCAACCTTTCAACACTAAGACAAAACCAAGTAAATATCGTGCATCCTACCAGCACATTTGTTTCTAGCCACTACTACAGCTAGTAGGAATGATGGATCATCTCCGGGAACTGTAATGTGGCATTACAGGAAGTTTGTCCACACAGTATCCGTAAACGTCAAAAGTTCATGTATAATCAAGTATAACTTGTAAGGTGAAGAGTGATGTTCGGAGATCCATTGAACGGAACCACTTCCATGGCAGTCAGACCAATGGACTGGTTTCGATCACCTAATCCATCTGCTCTGGGTTCCTAGTTTAATATCTAAGACCAGATCTACCTGGCCTAACTCGTCTGCCGAAATGGTGTATCAAGAAACACAGGTGAGAGCCAGATAGCAGGCGGGACTAAAAAACCAACTGGCCTCATACGGCATAGAAAACAGCTTAGTCAGATGTGCGAAATGTACTACCAAAATCCTCGCATGGGCTTTCACAAGTAACATATACTTGAAGGTTTGCGAATGAGGAATGTGGTTATAGAAGTTCTCCTACGGTAGTTACTGTGTTGTTCTTACTCACGAGCTGTCATCCTGTGCACCGGACTCAAAAATTTGTTTCCACATGTTCATCGTCAATCTACTCTTACATAATTTGGTCCATCTATCGACACGATGTTTCGGGATCTGGTCGCTGTTGTGAGCGTGAAACGAGACTCTGCCACAATCGCAACATCCTAAGCGGGAAACGGCCTAAAAACGTTGTCCGTACAGCCGACTGAACCTTTTTTTCAATACTAAAAGCATTAATGGACCACTGGTTACGCAATAAACTAATTTTCACCGGTTTTTCGTCTACCTTCGCTCAGATATATTTGAAAAGCGATTCGTTAGTGAATCAAAAAGTGACCACTCTGGAACTCAAAAATCAAACAGGACTCTTAAATGACGACAGAACTTTCAATCTGCTGCTACACACCAGTTGTAGGACAAGTTATGACTATCGACAATATTGTGGTAGTCCGGTAGTGTCCATAGAACTGGTCAGGTGATCAATTCTGGTCAGACTAAAGCGTACAACCTAGTATGCCGATATGACTAAACGAAGTATTTCTAAAATAGACGCGTAACGGGAATCCCCATAGAGTAGATTGGCACGAAAAGTCGACAGTGGTCACAGTGGAAATAGGGTTTTCCTCCGCCACAACTTTTGGCCCACTGGAGTGGTTTACACAAAGGTTTAGCACCTGTGTTGGAAAATACCACAGCCGGGATTTGATGTTTACAAAGGATAAAAACAAAATAGAGGACGCTAGAAGCTCCCTCAGGAACGGCTCCGCATTTCATCACAGATTGTGGTGGAATCCTCTGTGTGGAGTGGCTCTATGGGATTTACCACACAGATACTGATCCAAAAAAGTCGTGTTCCGCGTTGAGGACAGAGTCAGGGATTCTCTTTCGAGTTCGGTGGACTGGTTCCTTTGGAAATCATCGGTATGTTTGCAGAAGTAGACAGATCAGCTGAGTCAGGAGGAACATGCAGAGTTAGGATTTCTGTGGCAGGATTGTTAGTGTGCCTATAACAGAGGAGAGTGTTATTGTGCAATTAGAATTGCGAATGGTTCAGCCGAAGCAGAGTACTACCAATCCGGTGATTTACTCACTTGTCATGAGAGCAGTATACCCTAGTTGTGTCTGTAGGAATGCCGTGTCTGATGTAACGATTTATAACAAGGATCAATCCACCACTATCCACTATACACTTTTATACAGAACTTGCATCCAAAAACGGTGGCTTCAAGCGCTAAATTCAGCTGTTCGCGGACGGAAGGTTTGGCATCGAAGGAGCTAACTATTGGGATTTCGTTGCCAACCCACTAGGACAAAATCCCAAGATCCCCCCATAAGTATGACTTGCGATATCAACAAGGTATAGGAACAATGGGCGAAAACCAGGACAGAACAAGTGGCGCGCCATACACCTAGGCGACAACCCGGATTCAATTGGAATATACAAAAACTAGCCATCATCACGTGATCAGTTTCTGTTAGATATTCAAAAACTGAGCGACTGAAAAACAGGGGATGTGGAGTACATAACCGATGTGCACACTTACACACCTAAAAGTTCATTCACCAAGCTCACGAAAGTCTTTTTGATTGTCGACTGATCCAACCTATTAGAATATGCCGCTTCCGATATATATATATATATATATATATATATATATCACATACTGCGACATCTTCACTTGAATGCCTTTTGAGTATGTACTTCGATTTCTCCGGGTGACCCACTTTGGAAACGCTGACTGAGTGGTCACAAGACCTATTCGCCCTTCCCATTTTTTCTTGAAATAATCATTTTTAGATACGCAGTCCGATGCACGCTCGTGAGCTTGCATATGCATGCCTAAATGGTTGAAAATATGGTCGTACAAAAAATACTGTACGACTTCTCTGGCAGGAGACCTCTCACAGCTTTCTTGTTAGGTAGCTGTTGAGTTAAACGAACATTGCGGAAAACAAGAGATTTGGTTAGAACCAAGCAGAACTGTAATATCTATTAAGGCTATCACACCATGAAGTGCGTCCGAGCTCTTTGTCAGCTGCATTGCTCTGGGCCATCAAGCTGTCCCAACCCTTAACGTTGAAACAATCACGATATCTCAAAGGCCCAGTCCATTATCTACAATGGGAGCGAGTCACCGAGCCAGATTACAAGAAGTACTGAAAGCCACTATTCGGGCTCGAAGGAAGTCGAAACTGAAGCGACACCGCATAGCAGTCCTTAACCAAGTGAATCCTCCCTGAAGAAACTTACAGGAGGGATGGAGAGCCACAAATGTGGGGAGCTCAAGCTTGCTCAATAATGATCGTGAGTCTACTGCACCCTACAAATTAGGCAGAAACATGAGTGAGAATGAATACTACTTACACGTCAGAATAGATCTCTCGGTCAAGAAACCACCGAAAGGTGGGATGCTCCTGGTAATAATAAGTGGACAGTACTCGATATTGGGAACCATAGGCATAATATTGCCAATGGTAGGCTGGATTCCGGTTATGTCATACAGCACTCAGATAACCAAAGAAAAGCACTGGTGGCAGTAGCTTTAGCTTTCAGGTGCATCTCCCAACGTACCCGCCTCTTGACCACAACATTCATCAGGAGCAGAAGCCATTCTACGATACCAGTTAAGCAACGGCGACAACTAAGTATCAGCAAAATCATTTGAATCCCGACCCTAAAAGTCTACAAACTAAAAATCGGGGAACGTAAGCCACATTAGGATTGAAGACCAACTTGCGAAAGGTTAACCAACTACGTCAGAGGATAACAGTGCAGAAGTGGTAAGCATTCCTGTGTTTTATCAATCGATTGTATGGTAACCTAAACTTAGAGACAATGAAGCAGCACATCAGTTGCTACTGCAAATGCAGTTATAAGCAGAACACGCAAAGTAACATCGAAATAAGTTGAATGCCGCTGTTCACCCTAGGTCATACTATTTCGCATGAGGTATTACATTCCGTCGGGCTCTTCAAAAGATGATGGTAACACAAGTAATGGGAAAAACAAAAAAAACTAACCCAATATCACTCGCCCGAGAAATTTCACTGACGTTAACAGTGAATGACATCACTGACGCTGGCTGCTTCACCGATATGACAGGAGCCTTCCGGCAAAGCTTCAGGCGCAGCAGAAGGTTGAATGTCGTGTTGGCTAGAATTGCCACAGGTGGCTCCAGGTGATTTGGAAAAAATCTATAAACGGAGATGAGGGCAGTGCACCACCTTACCCGGAAAAAGTGAACGTGTCAGCCAAATCCCCAACAATTCCATTGGAATGTCTTTGGAAGAATCTGAGGTAGACCCAAGCAACCAGTATACCGGTTGCAAACATCATGAAAGAAACACGACCAGTTATTCCCAGTAGTGCCAATAATGCAGCGAATACGACAGATATAAACGGAATATGTTTATAACGTATGTTGCCGAGCGGGAAATTGACTAGCAGCTTCCCGCCCATGGTTTGGCGAGTTACTACGGTAAGGCCACCGAGAAGAGGGATAAAACCGCAAATCTTCTCAGAGAACAACAGTTCCGTATCGAAGGTGATCGCATAACCCAAAAACAGAAAGCACATAGTCGAAAAGGCAGTGGTAAGGTTGACAACAGCACAAAATTTTAGCATTTCACACCAGCTATAAAATGACAACAGAATATCCAAAAGAAATAAAGTTAGCAAATCAGACAGAAGAAAAAACACGGAATAATTGTAAAAAGAAAACGTGAAAATTGTCCATAGATGGTAATTGGGCATGAAAAACCGTCCAGGAGTGATGGCGAGGTACACATCTGCAGCTGGTATGAATGAAAACGCATAAAAGATTAGCTGAATTGCCATTATTGGTCGAAGCTGCCAGGCACAACGATACATATTTAGATGTCAAGCGGTGGAATGAAAGATGAACTGACCAACGAAACTGTGAAGGAGGGAAGCAGCTGAAAAGAGAAAAACCAACGCACATTATGACAATCCAAGGAAAAAATCGAGGGTTTTTTCAAATAGCTCGAACACAAACACACCTTTCGTTTCAAATACTGTGATGAAAACATTAACCTAAAGCAGCTCCTCAATACATCGCTAGCAGGTCCGTAAAACCCAAATATGCACAGTAAAAGTCATGGGTAGAGTTGAAATGTTTGAGCCCGCGACAACTGAGCAGTTATGTGCAAAATTACAGACTGGAAGGCCCGTGATTCGATCCCAACCCTGGCATTTCGACTGCTCCTCTTTACGCTGAGGAAACCGGGTAGCATCCCAGTATACTAGAGGGAATAGGCACAGAAACTCTGAATACCTCTTGTTTAACCACTTTAAAGGTGAAGATCAAGGCCTTTTTGTAAACCTGTAAGCTGGCGTGAATAGCCTCAGAACATGGCATTCTCGCTCACATGACTGTCTACCATCTCCACAACTACCCTCGTCACTAGCCCTATACTTGTTTCGGAGCTTGCTGTTTATCTTTGGTGAATGGATAACACGTCACTGTTCGTATTTGATTACCAGCCAGATGAACTTGGTGTTTAGCAGCCCGAAAAGCATTAGGTTCCTGGTTTACGAGGTGTTTTTTAACACTCCTAAGATCTTAAGCTCTTGTCATCGCCGCAAGCGGGTGGGTTCTGGGATCGCTTTGCGCGAGCACTCTGGGGTAATCCGTATTAGGGGGATCAACTTAGCGCTTGTGCTCGACGTCTCTATCACGCCCTCCGAACCTACAGCTGCCACCTTGACGTGATGGTCAGGCCTGATCGCTGCAATGATCCTGCGGGATACAGTAGTTGGAACTTCATTCCACAAGATGTAATCATGTCACGAGGGCCAAAGGGGAGCATTCAGACCAAGAGAAGCGAGGCCTCGTACTACGAGTAATCATGCAACAAGGCGATCTAGGGGTAAGGTCGTGCTGTTCTCTGCGATAGGACTGTCAAGGCAGTAAGGTGTTTCTTCCAGTCGACCAGCATGTTCATATGCGCAGAAGCAGACATACTGCCTTTCATCGAGGAAGGACGGATTAGAGGTCAGCCCTACA